ACTATGGGGTTGATGTACTAAAACTGGAGAGTGCAAAATCTGGTGCGGCTCTGTATAGAAACCAATCAGCTTCCAAGTTTTTTTTGTCAAAGCTTAATTGAACAAGCTGAAGTGCGAAGCTGATTGGCTACCATGCACAGTTGCAGTTTTAGTAAATCAACCCCAATGTTTAACCATGCCCATGACATTTTGGACCTAGGATTGGTTTCCAGACAAAATACTAGTCATTACCCTCAATGCCACCCATCCAGAAGTACAATCCCAATCAATAACGAGTATTTTTACCCTAACTGAGGGGACCTAATCTGTTACATGCAATTTTTAATCTGCATGTACTGCAGAACGAATCAAAAAAATACAACAAGGGAATACCACCTGATATTATAGATGTTCATGGATTTATTTTATTCTCATTGGAATTTTGCTTTAAAGGATATGCAAACCTAACATTTCAAATTCCTGATATGTGCCTGCTGTACCATGTACTTTATGAAAATGTATCCGGTTCTTTATGTATTGCTTTTTGTGTGAAATACCTGGTGATCCTGCCAGTCCCTCTGCTTTCCTATTAAAAACTGACTACACTAGAGCACAGCTCAGCTCTGGTCAGTTTTCCGGCTGTGCTAGGAGCTAATCCAATGATTAAACTTGTGATAACACACTCTTCCCCCGCATAGCCAATCACTGGAAAGACCAGTGTATGCTGTTTCTCCTCTCCCAGCTCCTTATGCAGCTGAGAACAGAGGGTATGCGATCACTTATAAAAAAGGGAAACAAAGTATTTATAACATTTTTTTATAAGTATCACAAATGTTTTAACTTTTGTTTCTATTTTAAACTGAATGTGTTGTTTTACAAGGTGAGGGTTCACATATACTTTAACTCTTGGAATCCTATTATAACAGATAATATTTAACTAATTTAAAAAAGGTAAATGTGTTTCCATGCTTCTACTTTCATGTGTACCTTTCTGGCTTTGTCTGGTTTCAATACAAATGTAGGATAACAGAAAGCATGCAGAAGGGACAGAAAAGTCATTAAAGTAGAACTAAAGGCAAAAACTTAATTGGATAAAGAAAGGGTTCAGTTTTTCTCCATCTTTGAGGATTGGGAAATGTTCCTTCACTTCCTGTCCCATAGGCAAAAAAAGGAAATGGAGTGGTAATCCCTATAAAGTGAGGGAATCCTTGGATGTCACCATAACTAATGTCCCTATTGGAAGATTTCCCATCTATTTCTGTTTTTGTGACAACCTAAAAATTTGGGATTTTCATCACTTTCACTCCTGGTAATAGCAGTCACCAGGACAAATAGGAGGGTGGATCTCCCTAATGTGGATACATACAGCAATAAAAACCTGATAGGTGTTATAATCCCTCTTTTCCTGTGCATAAACAAATGTAGAGCTTTTACCGCATTTTTAAGCGGCTTTTCTCCTTCCAAGAGACAAGGCCTTCAGCGATGACGAGCAAATGCTCACTGTACATGAAGCATAATACTACAATCGTATTCTCTGCAAGTAGAGCAAATCAGTACAATACCTGTTTTAATTTAGGCAACTCCTTTGCAATTTTTTGCCTTGACCGGTTCTCTTGTGCCCATAAGCGAAGATAATTCCGATTGTCTTGGCTTGTCCTTTTAACTATTAAAATAGGAAAACACATGTAAATCCTTATGTACTATCAGTGTAGTATCATCATAGGCGTAGTGGTATCTTGGCGTTACCTTTAGTGGTTTTAAGGCTGACAGCCACAAATCCTTCTTCTGTCTTTATTTTGTTCTTTGCATCAAGTGCCGAGACTTGAGGATGAAAAAAAAGAAATCTGTTAGATGGTCTTGAGAATGTGAAAGGAAATTTGCAAAAAAAGGAAATGTGTGGCATGTGTTTTCTGACCTCTCTCTGAAAAAGCTAATTGTCTGACAGTATTAAAACTGGCCAGTAACAAGGATTCAATTACAATTAAAGTCATAATCTTGCTCCTGATTTATATGGTATTGTAGCCAGTAGCAAAGGCATACAACTTAATTACATTTTAAAAAAGAGGTAGGCAAATGCAACCTTCATATTTTCACCCTACAAGGTTCCTTGAAATTATAAAAGTATAGACCTAATAAAGTTTGTCTACATTCTAGTATGCCAACTAATTTAGCAAATAGAGACTATAAATCAGTTACAATATTACAGTGAAATGTATAGAGATACAGTATATAGAAATTTATATGACCTCCTGCTCTCTGGCTCCCTGGTCTCCTCTTCCCATGCTCATCTCCAGGACTTCCCCAGAGCCTCCACATCCTCTGGAACTCTCTACCCCAATTTATCAGACTATCGCCTACTCTGCTCACTTTTAGGCAATCCCTGAAAACCTCTCCCTTCAGGGAAGCTTATCCTGCCCTCAGCTAATAATGGAATCTTCTATTCCTCCTACCAGTCCATCCCCCACAGTTATTACCTTTTGTACCACTAGCCCCTCCCTCGTAGATTGTAAGCTCCAAGGAGCAGGGCCCTCCTAACCCTCTTGTATTGAACTGTATTGTTGCTGTATTGACTCCCATTAGATTGTAAAGCGCTGAGCAAACTGTTGACGCTATATAAATCCTGTATAATAATAATATTAATCATATAGATGGCTTTATAAAAGAACAAGTACTTACAAAAGTATTCAAAAAGTATTTGTGTAAGATGCTTCAGATGGAAGCTGCCATCCTCCTTCCTATAGCCTGCACACTGGTTCTGGGGAAATTTGGGCTAAGTGAATGGCAACGTCCACCTGAAAATTCTTACATTTTTTTTTTTTTTTGGCACCCAAGGAGTGTTCCCTTTTGAATTCTATACCTGCTTGCTATCACAAGTAGCCAAACCTTGAATCATGTGGCTATAACATGGACCGTGTACACATGGCCAAAAGGTTTAGAATGTCAGAATGGGAAAGATGTGCAGTCAAAGTATCTGTATCTTTCCATGTAGTATAGTCTAAAAATCAACAAAGAATAGTGCAGAAAAAAAAGGGACCAAAACACAGTAACCAGACTTATTTATGCTGACAGGAAGGCCACATCATGTGAAACCTCAAATGTTAAAAGTGGATTGGTAGGCTTCAGCAGCAGATAACCATGCATGATTGGCAAGTGAGTTTCTAGTGGGCAAGACAATCTGGAAAGTTTAGGAAAAAAAAAAAAAAAGTGTTGCCTTCTCTGACAAATCTCCATTTTTGCTGCCATAAACATACAGTGGGGTCAGTACACATGAACTCATGGTCCCACCTGGTCTGTAGATGTTGGATGCAATCATTTTGCAATGTTTTGTTGACATTTGAAAAAAAAAAAAAATCACTGACAAAACCGGATTTTTAGTGTCACTACATATAGTGTCATTTCTGTTTTATTTAGCATTATTTCTAGGTCTCAAAAAACTATTGTTCATTTTCATTTAATAATTACACTACCTGTTAGCTAGCACTGCCTGGCATCCTGCAAAGATGTATTCATTCTGAAAAGAGGTTTGTTGATAAGATAGTATTGGTTATGTATGATAGAATTTGTGCTCCCTCTACTGGGGATATCATTACTTGGCCATTTTGTTTCATGTACTGTCCAGGCCTAAGGCTGGATTTGCAAGTTTTTAAGTGCGTTATCAACAGGCGTCAGGGCCGTGGATAAGGGGGTACCACCAGTCCTCCTGTATCCTGTACAGGGCCCAGGCATCCGGGTGAATTGGATTTGGGCAGGGAGGGATCAGCACGGGGGGGGGGGGGGGGGGGGGGGGGGGGGGGGGGGGGGGGGGGGTTGGGGGTGCAATTACTGGAACCGGTCTCCTGTATGGATCTCTCTGCAGCAGCTGAAAGCTGGCTTCTCCTCCTCCCCACTTTAACCATACCAGATGTCACACAGGTATAAACTATTAAAAAATAAAAAAATAAATAAAAAATGGCTAACCTGTGCACATGCATTAAAATGCATGATTTGCATGCCATACAACTTGAAAATCGCATGGCAAGCTGCACCCTATTGTCCGCAATGACAGCAGTCATATCGGCGCGGTTCCGACTTGGTTGGAGCCGCATCAATTTCTAAAGTAGTACATGCACTACTTTTGGTGCAATTTCCATCGACATCTGTGTCAGATGTCTTGCAAATCGCACCTCAAATCGGCATGTCATCCGACTTTGAAACTGTAGGACTTCACTGTAAGTTTGAACGATTTCAAAGTCGGGATCGGTGTGACTGGGGTGTAAAGGAAACTTATGCTGGGAGCAATGCAAAGGCAACCAGCTAATCTCCATCAGGAAACAATAGCTACTTATGCTGATCATTTGAGTCAATATTTCTTGAGACAGTGACCTGGAAGACGCATGCACCGAAGAAACTTTAGATCTCCATGTTATATGCGAATAAATCAGTATGACATCTAAGTAATTATCATTATAAAGTTTAATTAGCTATGTCAGCCCATTTTTTTCCATTAAAACAAGGATTTATTAATGCACATCAGTAAACATGACCATCTAATAACTGGACAACATCAGCTTTTTTAGATCAATGGATATTTTCATTATCGTGGAGCTCCAGCTTTTTTCCCTTTCCTGTCTGGTCACTTGGACAGGTAACGAGGGGAAATTTGGGGATACAGACAGCAATAATAAAACTTTTGGTAGAGTGAGGAATAGTTAGCAACTAGTTTTTTTATTATCTTTATCCACACTGGGGAGTTTCCTCTTCAAAATTAATAATTCTAATTGTTCTCTTATGAGCACATGGGGCAGTTACACATCTGCAATACTACAGGGCTTCAAATAATTGTCTCTCATGGTATCATTAAATTTTCCCTTTTTTTTTTACCCATGTATAAAAAAAAAAAAAAAAAAAAACCTTAAGGAAAGGAAAGTTGGGATGCCCCATACCATGAAAAGAGTTCTAACATGTAATCAAGTAAAGCATTTATTTTTTATTAGCAGCTTGCATTTATATTATGGTTTTGTATATGGCGGCAATGTACACATTTACACAGAGATTACCTTACCTTGGCTACATTCTGGTGTGATATCTTCAAAAAAATATTGAGTGGCTTCAAAAGCAGAATCTGGCTCTTCCTGGTCAGGTGACAAGTCTACAAATGACATACAACCACTCTTAATGAAGAACCCATTAGGAGTCATGAATCTTCACAGATACGCCAAAGTTACATTTCCTCAGCCACCAATCAGCATCAAATCTGCCTCTGAATCATATTGGTGGCTGTGGCAAAGAATATCAGCCCTCAGGAAGTGAGATGGTAATAATATCCAGCAAACACTGTGGTGATGTTTAGAAGTTAGAACATGCCCCATGAAAGTGTTGCTAAACCCACAACAGTAAAATCAATCTGTCACTTTCTTGTCATGCTGTCAGGTGCCTATGACAAAGGGAAGTGTTCATTGGTCATAGCTCTACAGTACACAAATTACATGCAGACCATATTGCAATTTTTTTTATGCAAAAACCCTGAATTGTGAGAAAGCTCCACTATTTAGTCATTTTAGAAAAACTGAGATTCAGGTTTCCTGTAATTTAGGTTAGCCAATAAAAATTACAGTGTATTTGTTTAACCGCTTAATGACCAAGGTCAAAACAAAACTTAAAGTGTTACTAAACCCACAACAGTAAAATCAGTAAAGCAGGCTTGTTATACTCACTGTGGAACCTAAGGGGTTAATCCTCCACATTGTGTAAAAAGGTTTGATCCGGTCTTCTCTGATCCTCCCCTTCCTCTACGGTCTCCAATCCATTTCCTGATAGAACACAGCCTTTGGGGCATGCTGCATGTGGTCAGTTTGGTATGTATTGCTAGAAGGTTTTTTTTTTTTCCTTGGGAGGGTGCATGTGGTCAACACAGGGCCAATCAACGTTGTCCAGACAGAGGGTCAGGGGTTATGCAGCCTCATATGACAATCAGGGGAGAATGAAACCTCCTACAAGCTTTAACCAGTGCTAAGTTGGACACTGATAGAAGTCACAAGATTGCTATATACTGCTGATGAGAAAAAGGTATTCAGCAGTTTATATTTACTACAATAATTGCATTTCATGTTCTAAATCTAGAGAATGCAGGGTCCTGGGCAGGGGCAGACTGACCATTCGAGAACTCGGGCACTGCCCGAGGGCCCGGGGTCAGTAGGGGGCCCCATGAGATGCCCCTGGTACCTTTCATAGGCTTTTTTGGGTGTTGTTTGAGTGTGGGCAAGGACACAGGGACTCCATGATCCCCTATTGCCTGGGGGCCCCAGGAGTTGTCAGTCCGCCCCTGGTCCTGGGTTTAGTAACACTTTAATACCTTAATCTAGATTTAGTGCCAAATAAATAGTCTCTCTGTGCAAACACATTTCCAATATAAGTCTGAATCTGATCAGTGGCTATGGGAAACTTCTTTGCGATTCTGATTATACTTTGTACTGATTTTTTGTCATTAGGCTTTCTGTATATATGAGTGACAATGAGAAGCATTTGGGTGCATCGGATGCATTTTGGAATTGCTCTCCTGCAGCTGAAATGGGTGTTCTCAGATCAGTAGATTTTTGACAAAAAAAACAGAATGTGGTGAACTGCTTTGTTATAACAATGTCTGGTTGAAAAACTAGTACTAGAGATATGCTTCCTGCCTCAAGGGTTAATTCTCAAATTTGACTGGAGTTATGCATAAAAGTTACATTTCATTATAAATTAAATGAATACAGTACAGTCAGAAAATGCAAACATCTGTAGGAGAATGCTGGAAGTGCTTACCAGGCAGTATGTGCATCCTATATAACAGCTTCAGTTTTTCAGTGAGGTCCCCATGGCAGGCATCACCTGAACATCAATGGAGAAATGTAAACAGGATATTTGAGATTTTTGTAAATAATTAATTATCATCTGTAAATTACCCGCACTAACACCAATCACTTCTAGAATGTGCAAAGTTGCAGTCATAGGGCCATATGGATAGAGCTAGGAGTACAGCTTGATTACACTGTACTGTTCTTAGAGGCTACATTACACCACAAAGGATGGTTACCAAGCATATAGATTTGAAGGTCTGACTGCAATGGCTGCCTGTGTGTTTCAGGTTATGGATTTAGAAAATATTAGGGCCCAGTGACATCGACAAGTTGCCATATCAAAATCTACAGCAACATACCATGCATACTTTGGCACAGGGGTGCTACACCTGTGGCCCATGGAGCCCTCTGATGAGGCCCTGGACCTCAAACTGAATGGAAGAGTTTAGTGTGCTTTCAGAAAGTGCACCACACCCGCAAGATATAATAGAAGTCTATGGCAAAGCACAGCTAACCTGCAGGAAAGCCTCAGGTGCACTTCGCTGCACCCATGGAGAGGGCAAACTGCAGCGCATCAGTGCGAAAGCAGCCTTATGGGGGATCAGGACAGAAAGGGCTCATTTATATTTGTGATTTGGGGATGGGATGTCACTACACCCCCCCAACCAATGGTGTAATGTCAGGCGTCAAAATGGCAATCCAGAGCTGAACACAGGGGCCTGCCATTCTTCTCTAGAGACAGATTGCTGGCCTACTGCTGCGAGACTCTGCACATCATTTCAGCACAACGGTGACACCAATTGCCACACCAGGCTTGAACCATCGTCTCTGCATTGAGATGGTCATTGTCCAGTCTTCACACGTCAGGTGGTAACTCCGCACATCCTTGCAACCAGCCAAGAGCCTAAGCAAGAACTGTTCCTAAGAGGCCGTGCTGTCCATAGGACTGGTGAGGGAGCAGATACCCAACCACGTTCTGTCATCACTCTAGCAACATTGCATGCAGACACCTTTACACGTCAGTACCAAGAGATCTTTTGCTTTGAGCAGTACCACAGTTGGTTTAATTGGAATTACTAGTATTCACTAATGTTTATGGGCCACCACCATTGCTAGCAGAGGACAACAGATGGCTCCATATGAAGAACTTTAAATATCACAGGACTTCCCCCTTTTGCGGCTGGTGTTGCATATAAATGGTTGAAGCTTACTACTCATGACTGTATAATCTGTTAAACGTTGCTAACTGATTATTTCTATTTTACAAGTGTTCTGCTTTTATGCGTGAACTGGAGTTGTATATCCTAAACCCATTATTTCTGTGGCCTTCACTTTTGAATACAGCTAATATAGAGGTGTTGCTAAAGAATTGTGTCTTTTGCATTATTATCTTATACTGCTGAAATATATTAGACAAACAATTTGCGCTAGTGAAAAAGGAAACAAATTATCACACAATAGTTGTCATAAAAAAGAAAAAAAATTGGTCCCATAAAATAATAAAAAAGTCCCAAAAAATAATTCTTCAATAATATAACTGGTGAGTAAAATTTTTTTCAAACAAAATCCACCAAAAGTGTCAATCCATTACCAAATAAAATGAATAAACTCACCAGAGCTATATATAGACACCACCATATCCATAGAATGTTGGAACAGCCACTCGGAAAGAAAACAAAATCTCACTTTTTAATAAAACATATCGCACTTACAAAAAACGGTGTCCCAACCGACACCAGCATCAACTGTGTAATCAGCATCAACAGTGTAATCAGATCACATAGAACAAACCCAGCCACCTTGCACATGGGCTGTACCGACCACTGGGAACGTAATGACGGGGCTTGATCAATGTGACTTCATTACGTTTCTCAGTGGGCGGGGCTTGATTGATGTGACGTCATTCCGTTCCCAGCGGCTGGGTTCGTTCTATGTGATCCGATTACACTGTTGATGCTGGTGTTGGCTGGGACATCATTTTTTGTATGTGCGATATGTTTTATTAAAAAGTGAGATTTTAAGAGGTATTGCACCATGAGCTTCTGTTTTCTTTCCAAGTGGCTGTTCCAACATTCTATGGATATGGTGGTGTCTAGATGAAGTGGATCTTTTTAGTGGCACATCCTATTGCAGGGTATTGTTCCCTGGAAATCGATTTCCATGTCAAGCATTGCCTCATCAATCTGCAGATCATTGCTCCCAGAGCAAAAAGCGTTTTATGCCGATTTATAACATTATCAGCATATAGCTCTGGTGAGTTTATTCATTTTTTTTGGTGGTGGTTTAAACACTTTTGGTGGATTTCGTTTGAAAAAAATTTTACTCACCAGTTATATTATTGAAGAATTATTTTTTGGGATTTTTTTATTATTTATGGGACCAATTTTTTTCTTTTTTATGACTATTGTGTGATAATTTATGTTTCCTTTTTCACTAGCGCAAATTGTTTGTCTATTATTTGTACACCTTATGGTATAGGGCGGATTTTGCAGCTGGTAGAATTTAATTTATATTTATTTTTTCAATTGTAAATTAATAATTTTTTTGTGGCGCCATCTATATTTGTTTACAACTGCTGAAATATGTCCGAACCCAGAGTGGCAGAGGTTTTGGGGGGCTTGCAAGGTCAGGCCAACCACTGGGGACAAGCATTATCAAGCGGCCCCTGCAGGGGTAGGGCTACAGGTGCACAATCCTATGGTCACTATAAAAAAAAATTCAACTCTTTCCTGTGTATTCAGATGTAGTAGGTTTTGTAATGTCATGTTTAATCATGAAAAAGTAAAAATCAATTCAAGAAAACTAAGTCCCTTGTTATATATTGTTATACTCACTTAAACCAGAGACAAACTCTTTGAAGTTGATCAAGCTGTCTCCATTTTCATCTAGGAGTCTAAAGAGACGGACAGCCATGACATCTGTGTGTGCACCACTTGCCCATGGGAACAGCAGTATAAACATGCCTTTGAATTGTTGAAAGTCTATGCGGTACTGCTCAAGATAGGGAAGGGAAGGGTCATGACGTTCAATGGAGCTGCTGTTACCTCCCCAGTAGCAGCTTGTCAGGTGCTCAGCCTAAAACAATAATATATTTACAAAGTGAACATCATTAACAGAATTACTTTTTTTTTTTATATATGCTGTGCTTATTGTATGAAGCAACAGGAAACAAAATGTACCAGGCACAGCATAATATTACTCTGAAGTGAAATTAGGTTTATGTCCTCTCAAGTTTAATTTAAGGAGTCAATTTTAAAGCAACATCATTTGTCTAATAGTAAAATAATATGAATGCATCACTATTTGATTTAAAAGTCAGTGATAACCATGTTTAGTACTAGAAGATACAACCAATTATTATTTCCACTCCATAAACGTCAGAATGTAGAATAATGCAGGTTTGGAAATGTAATCCAGCCACTATACAACAGAAGAGCTAAGACTTCTATAATCTTTTCTCCTAGTTATCATTGGGTGCACTTTGTGCAATATATTCTCTACTCTATTTTGTTCTGTTACCTGAATTATAATGTATGGGCAGAAGTCTGTAAAAAAAAAACCTCCAAATTTTTAAGTTCGGGTGTAGGGGTACTGTTGAAGTTACAGCTTACAAAAACATTTTAGACAACTGTGCACTTGTGGCAACAATTCGGGGAAGGCCCTTTGCTGTTCTAGCTTGAGCATGCCCCTGTGCACCTTACCATGGGGTGAAATTGAAAGACACATCTTCTTGTTCAGCATAAGTACCTGACCTCAAAAATGCTTTTTTTTCTGAATGGGCTCATTTTTCCATAGACACATTCTGATATCTTGTGGAAATCCTTCTGAGAGGAGTGGTGGCTGTTCTAGCCACATAGCTTGTGAGGACTCCATATTGAGGCTTGTAGTTTTGGAACGGGACGTCAAACCAGTTGACCTAGGTGTCCACAAATGTTTGGCCATATAGTGTTTCTTAGACAAGCAAAGTACATAGTGGTATAATTGAAATGTGAGAATTTAAGAGTAGAAGCTGCATGTTATATTCACTGTTTCTAGTGCATGCACCAAATCGAACCTTCTAAAGCAGCCTCTCTCAACCAGAGTGCCCAGGCACCCTAGGGTGCCTTCAGGTTTCTTCAGCGGTGCCTTGAAAAAAATGCCTAAAAATTGTATACAAGGCAGCGGGAGGATGAAGCCTGCCTTTTAGTTACACATAAACCACAGGTTTTCATTGTGCACCGTTACAACGTTCTAGGGGCTGGCGACAAAACAACCAGTGATGTCATCATTTGATAAGAAGGACATTGGGCACCTGCACGGCATCCTTGCCTGCCCCTCTCTGTAAGGACTGGGGTCACACTAGCGTGTGAGCAAGTGAGAGAAGCTAAGGAAGAAGAGAAACAATGGAATACTAGTCAGTACCAGTGTGCAAAAGTGTGTTTGCTTTGGAAGAATAAATTACCTCTAACATTGGGTGTTTAAAATTCTTGAGGCACCCATTACAAAATGCAAAAAACTAAAGGTTTCCTCAAGATTGTACAGAATTTTAAAGGGTTCCTGGAGATTGTGAAGAATTTTAAAAGGGTGCCTTGACTGAAAAAAGTTTGAGAAACTGTCCTAAAGAGCAATTTCTGGATTAAAGTGCAGTGAATAAAGAAGATACAAACTATAATTTGCTCATACCTTGAAAAGTGCATACAGTTCTTCCAATTCATCAATAGTGAATGCAGTGTCAGTGACAATGGTGCGGACCTAGAAGAAGAATATTTTTAATTGGCAATACTCCACAGACTGAGAAATTAGTAAGTGTAAAAATAATGTAACCATTGAAAGCTTGTGAAAATTAGTCTACCACACAAAAAATAATACTTTATCCTAATTAAATCCATGTTAACAGGTAATTCATTTTTCATCTAATAGTTTTAGATAACTTAGAGCTGGACTCCCGGAAAGAAAAAAAAAAACTATTTGCACATTTGTGACGTAAAGATGTATTTCCCCTAATGATGCATGTCCCATTGGTAGGTGCCGCTGCATCAAGTAAAAACCATTAATTAATTCTAACACTGCTGTAAGAGCAAAATTTCTGGTTATAAAAATTACACTCCTGGCTCTATTATGCTGCATACAGTGAAGGCTATATGGGTTGCTCTCTCTCCACCTCCTCCAATCATAAAACCACTTGTAATCTTGACACGGAATACAAGATGTTCACTTGTCCCTCATCCAATCTCCCCTCCTCCAATCACAAAACACCTTGTACACAGTGAAAAGAATACAAGAGGTTCTATGAAGGGAGGAGGTGTAGAGTGAATGACCCACATAGCCTTCACCGTTTGCAGATTACTAAAGCCTGGAGTGCAATTTTCAGAGCTGAAGACTAGCATCTACAGCATTGTCAGATCTACAGTTAAAATTTTTACCTAATGCAGCAGCAGTCACCAAAGGGACACAAAAGAGAATGTAAAAATATTGTTTATTCCAGGAGTTCAACTTTTAGTACAGCTATTCCTTCCAAAAATACAGAACATGCCATACGAAAAAAAAAAAAAAAAAAAAAAAAAAAAAAAAAAAGCAAATTCCTGGCTTTTTCTGTAGACAGCAGTTTAGTGAGGATCTGCCACAAATTGCAAAACAATGTCAGCAGAGATTCATGGCACAGGCTTCATTGAATACAAGGTGTTGTATTACCAAAGGCAAATAGACTGTGCACTTTACAAAGTGCAGCTGTTCCAGAGCTTAGTAACTGAGGTAAAGCTTCACTTTGCAAAGAATACCCAATCACATGCAAGGAAAATAACAAAAACAATGTTTCTTTTTGCACATGATTGGATGATGGAAGTCAGCAGAGCTTCTGCTCATTTACTAAACTCTGGCGCAACTGTTCTTGCAGAGTACAACTGCACTTTGCAAAGTGCCCAGTCTATTAGTCTTTAGTAAAATCAACCCCTAAAGCTACTTCCACACTGATACACCGTGCTAGTGATGCATGTTTTACAGGACATATGACTCAAAAACAGCACCAAAAACACAATACACTTTTCCATTGATTTCAAAGGAGTGTTTTTGGTGCATTTGTTTAATCGCGCCAAAAATGCAGCAAGCAGGATTTTAAAATACACATCGGACCCGTAACGGATCAGTGTTAAGAATTCCACATTTTTCTTCTGTTTTTTAAAAGAAATACGATCAATGTAAAAGCAGCCTAAGTCCAGACTCCTTTTTGTTTCTAAGATGATGATTTACAAAAACGTTTGAATGTGTAATAACATACACAGAGTTCAGAAAATTCTAAGGCCTTCTTTTTGTAGACTACGGCTCATTCAGTAAGCAATATACAAAATACTCATCTAATAAATTTACCATTGCAATACTAATATAAATAATTTGTGCTTAATCATCTGTTTTTTCAGAAGCTTTTGTCATTTTGTTTTTTTTTTTATAATACCATCAACTTTCAGCCAAAATGCAAAATGGGCATCTGTATGCATACAAAATGAAAGTCTGCTTAGCCCTGGTTCACACCAGTGCAACTTCAAGTGCGACATGCGATTTACAAATCGCACCTGAAGTAGCATCTAATGTATTTCTATGGCACTATCTTAAATCAGTGCAATTTGAAGTAGTGCGATTTTAAAAAAAGTTCCTGCACTACTTTTTCCTGATTTCATTGCGACTTGCATGGACTTCTGTTAAATGAAGTCACAGGTTGCAGTGAAATCGGAGGTACAAATCACATTGATCTGCGGCTATGAAATCGTACTACTTCAAGAGAAGTAGTGTGATTTCAAAGTTGCATTCAGTGTGAACCAGGACTTAAGACAGAGCTTGTTTTTCATCCAGCCTTTACGGTGCTCTCAAAGTCACCCCCATAAAAAAAAACAATAACCTATCTTAGAACACCCATCTAGGTCATCATTGTAAGATACGTGGCAAGTATTCCTAACTTGTCTTGTGTTGCTCCCACCTTTCATTGCAATGACACCCTGTGCCATCTGTAATATTCATGCCTCACTTTTTTGGCCCCCACAGTACCTATCGGTCCACCCCCACCACACACATACACACTTTTTTGCCTTGATGCTTTTCCTTAGCACAGGGCCCTTTAAAAGGAACTGATGTTGCATTCCCCTCTCCAAGAGTGCTGTGAAAAGCCTCAGATGTGGTATCAAAAGGAGATCCTTGCATGCAAAGTAAAGAGAAGTGGAGTGGATTTTCTCACTTTAGCATTGGTGTAATGTTTTTAGGATGCAGTTAGCTGGTAACCCATTGAACTAGCAGAACTAGAATTAGAGAACAGTTGGATGTTAGAAGTTTTGTAACTTGTGAATGGGGTAATTTTGGAGCGTATTTTGTGATTTAGTTTGATAAGTGCAATGACTATAACCTGCACTAATCGTGGTGGTTTGTACTTAAGAAGCTCAAAAAGGAATTACTTTTGAATACGTCATCAATACCAATTATACATGCAAAATAAAACATTGAGGTCTTTATTTTGCAAGTAAAGTTTCACTTTAAGATGAACACCTAAGCAAGCTGTACTTACCACATTTCGTTTTGTAGTATCTTCAAGAGTCTGTATCACTTTTAGCCGTTGCCTAAATCTCATCTGCTCAATCAGGTCTGCCCGTATAGTTCCAAATTTCTGCAGTAATAAAAACACATCGTAAATGTGCAATCCTCTACATAGCAGCACTCACTTGTGAAAGAAGGAATGGAGAAATACTAAGGGCCTAGCAGGCTGTGCTGCAGTACATATGTGCTAATAGGTCAACATGCTTACAGGCATTGAGAAAGTAGAAGAATTACCATGCTGGTGTTCTGCTACTCCTTCATTGACCAATTTGCACAGTGAGTGTGTGTTTGTGGCCAACTTTTGCTACCACTGCAGAAGAGAGAAGTGATCTGCATATGCTATCTGGTATAGGGTTTCTGGATCTTCCCCAGAATCACAGAACAATTCCCATCCACGCCATCTCAGCTGTGTATTTAGGGGTTTGCCCAGAGATCAACTTTAAAAAAAAGTGTAACTAGATGTTAATTTAACAATAAACCATAATTGTATACACAATACCTGATAAGAGGCAGCTATAAGTGTAAAGATGTCCACTTCTGGATAAGGCTCTGTGTCATCCATGATTAAGGAATGGAGATGAGGAATTGGTGGTAAAGTGCTGTCTTTATTACTCACACTGTCTAAATACCTTTTAAGAAAAAAAAGGAAATTGAAAAATCATATAAAAGAAAAATTAACATCCCCTAGCCTAGATTACAGAACCAGAATAGAAGGTATGCCTGGAGCCGAATTCATCTCACCATGCATTAATGGCTGTTTTGTATCTTTTGCTGCACAAGCCCCACGCCACCAAAGCCATGGTTTCTTCTAATGAAGGAAAACAAACTTCCAATGCTCTAAGGACTCTACATGGCTCTATAATTATGCTGTGTCTATACCTCACTACCTGAACTGGACTGATGATGAAATTATTACTTTTGTAACCAGTCTATTATTGAAAGCCACCGTCTTCTACCAACTACCTTCATCATTCTACAAAAAGAAAATGTTAATCTTTTTTAACTAGTTTGCATGGAATTATCTACCAGGATTAAATCCCTTTTTTATAGAAGGGATATTCTACAAAAGCTATGCAAAAAAAAAAAAAACAATATTGTGCTGAACGTATAGAAAAGCTTATAAAGAGAAATGAGAACTATATTATACCTCCCCAAGACAGTCATAGCTTCTCCATCGTCTTTGCAGTTAAGTAGCTTGTCCACATTGGCCTCCAACACAGCAAGTGCCAGCTGGAATATCACCTTAATGCCTTCATAGAAAAAACAGTCCACAACCACCACAGCACTTTCAAAAGGCATGACACTAAGAAACAATGTGAGGAACCAAGATAAAGAAATGGTGGAAATTACACCCAGATCCTGCATACAGTCATACAGCTGAGGCACATAGTCACGAGCCAATTCTTCAAAAACACCCTGATCCACAAGAGCTCCTAGAAGAAAACAAAAATTATATGTATAATGCACTTGGATGCTGCAGATGTTCTATAAAACATTTTATGGCAAGTTATTCTTGACTTTCATAAGAAAGTCATGGTTTTACAGATTATATCAGTTAGTCACTATGAGTATCTAACACTAATTAGACTTATGTTTGCCAAGGTTTAGTACAGTGTCTAGGCAAACCATAAACTTTTTTCAAAACGTACCAACAACTCTTGTATTGTAGTAATCAGGAAGCATGCGTTCACATAGAGCAACAAGCAACCAAAAGGCTTCTTCTTCCTTAGCGTACAGCAGAAGCACAGAGGTAACAATATTCATGGCCTACAATAAAAAAAAAAAAATTATAACAATTCAGGACAGGCATACATTATCAGGAAGGTGAAGATATGGATATTGACAAATGCTGCTGCCTTATGTCTGTAATTCCCATCATAAAATGTACATTTCATAGCTTGCATCTTTTAATTACATAATATGCTGCCAGGTTATGGATTAGTCTCTGGTGGACCTATGGAAAGTCATTCTGCCATAAATCCAACCTTAGTATCTACGGTCCAAGTAATAGCATAATAAAGGCTAAATCCCTGCTACACTTATGGTTTTGGGATAAAAGGCAACAGTCAGGCACACAAGCTCCAGAGATGTGACAAATTTCAGCCATTCCTTATACCATTGGCACCCATAACAGTACCTTCCCTTAACATCATGCAGTGTTTAATGCAGGACCAGATACATATTATGTCAAGTGTTTATTTAGTAGGATTATCATCAAAAGGGAGCATAGTGTATTTCTAATAATCACATTTTTAGTTATAATAACATTTTTGACATTTTTAATTTCTTTTTTTCTATATTTTTATTTTACTAAATGTAAACATTTTCAGATCATCCGCTATTGAGAGCACAGCAGCAACTGAGTTTGCTTACCGCTGAGGCAATATCAGACACGTTAGCAGTGCATTTTCTCAGTATGTCAGCAAACAGATGTCAACAGCCTTTTCCTGCTCTTGATATGCATAATTCCTTTTAATAATGCTTGTATCCAAAAGCTCACATGCTGTACATATACACTCTGATTGTTTGATTATCAATTTGTACTCTATACAAGTACTCTATACTTGTACTGTTACATATGTACAAACCAGACAATTAAACTATTTTAACTAATCTGATCTTTTTTCATCAGTAGGATTATAGTATTTATGATCACATTGTACTGTGATCACATTGGGCGCATGCCACATGTCATAGTTTTATACAATTGAACCTAAATGCAGGATTAGAATGTGGGTTGGTATCTTTAGGCTGCATGCACACTAACATTTTCTTTAAGCTCCTAGGAACTATAATGATCATTTTAGGAACTATTATGATCATTTTTTTCTGCTCCTAGAAGCTAATAGTGTTATCCTATGACACACTATTTTATGCTAGAAGCATTTTTCAAGCTTCAGCGTTTAGGAGCAGAAAAAAAAAAAGTTTTTTGTAGAGTTTTTTGAGAGCATTTTCCTGGCAGAAAAAAAAAACAATAAAACACACCTAACTGCTACTAAAATGCTTCTTTTTTCAAGTGTTTATTTTCTTCATGCACTGTAAAAATGCTCATAAAGCGCTAATGGTCCCTAATCATCACATTCCACATCAAGGTTCAGGTGGATAAAGATAAAGTTTGATATTTAAAAACATAGCATCTTCTATTGTTTGAGTCAGTGTGACTTTTGTGTGCAACTGGGGCATGGACTAAAATATTTGCAAAATTATTCTGCCTCAGTCATCAAATTAAATGGAAACTAAGCCATAAAGGAAACCAAGTCTCAGATAAAACTGCTGACTGTTCTTTATAGACACCCACAGCCAGTTTCTGACAGTCTTCGATAGAGTTATATTCTAAACCTGTTGAAATACTTTCCATACGTAATTACACCGGAAGCACTAAGAACCTACTAAGAACCGTTGTAAGTTATGAATTAAATATCTTGGTATTATACTGACAGCCAATGCTGGCCTCCAGAAGTCACTTTTAAATTTCCATCGCCATGACCATAGACCGCTAGGTATTGTCCTGATGCCATGAAAAGTGTATTTCTTGCCATTAGTTTGGAGACTATGTCAGATTTATATGTCAATTCACCGTTGCCCATAGTCCAAAGAGATGTATGGCTGAGAAGCAACACTCCTTAAGAATACCCTATATTAGGGCCCATTCAGACCATAATGCAGTGTGCTGCAACACATGTGTTTTCATATGCTGGGGCATGCCGCATTAGGCAGACTATTAAAAAAAAAAAAGCTGTTAATGCAAAAAAAAAAAAAAAAACTAGGCCCTGCATAAATTATTTTATGTATTTTTAGAGTATGTGCGTCTGGGCATTGTAGTGGGCTATAACTCCGGTGTGCTGTAACGCACTGTGGATGTGCTTTGGGGTGCAAAAATAAATGTGCATTGCAACGCATATCTACAGTGCGTACCATGTGTTGCAGCAACACATTATAACACTTGTTATGCTGTAAGCAAGCCCAGGACTCAAATACAAAACACCTCTTAGTGTTATTACAGTATTGTACAATTTACCAAGCACATTTCACTTGTTCTACTTCCAGGCCAACCCTATGCAATGTACATTTTTAGTTACCTGGCAGTATCCAATGTTTGGGTTTCTGAAGGCATAAGCAGTGAGGACCCTTCTCAAAGCAGAGATCCCGATTTCGTTTTGGAATGCTGGATGTTCTGGAAGAGAACGATGCAAATCCCTCTCAATCTCTTCTGTGGCAAGGTTATACTGACCCATGGACTTCTCGACCAACTCTTCATAATACCCAGGATGAGTAGCCATTTCATTAATAGCACCTGATATAACAGAACAGCTGATAAAGAACTGGAAGAACATGTCTCTACAGTTACCCATCAATAATCGAAGTTTAAACTGTAACTGACCAGAAAAGAGCAGCCATAGCTCTCCACGCATACTCTCTGGGATTCCTTTCAACACCAGGTCTCTTGTCTTTTGTGTGCGGTACATGCAGATTCCCTGGCCATACTCTGCAAAATGGATCTTCCACGCTTGTTCCTTCAGAAACTCTTTAGCCTTTCACAGAAGAAAGAAGGGTACACAATTGAAGTCTAACATATGCTGCTAATTGGGGAGGACACACTGCTTATGCTGTTGCTCAAGCTCCACAGAAAATGAAACTAATGAAAATCAGCTTGGGGTGGGGGAAGAACAGTGGTCATATGTTGGAATGACTGAACAGCATTCCACTACATACATATCCCTTTATTGATTTGAGGAGGGTACATGGTAGCTGGTTTTAACGGTAATACCGTGAGAATTCAAAATACCAACAGCAGCCAACACACCAGGAATTAAAGACCTCAAATCTTTACTGAGGTCTTCATTTTTTAATAACAACATAGCTTGAGCAAAAAGAAAAAGAAAAACCACCAACATTTCAAAGATACTGTAAGTAATAAGAGGGCTTGCCCACCACCGATATATAGGTTTGCTCAGCATAGCCTTTGGGAGGGATTTTGTTCAATACATTATATTATAGATCTTAATTCTACACCATTTTTAGTATAATATTTAAGTTTTACATTTTAAACAACGTTAACTATTTAAATTTTACCAAAATATTGCTTCTTTTGAAATTGTTACAGTCCTGTCAGAGCGCAAAAATGTTAGCACCGATTTAGCTTTGCAAGTTGGACTGAACCTAGTTAGATATTGTACATATTCAGTTTTCTGACTATAAAGATGACATTTTCTTAAACTGAAAGGCAATAGTGTCATTAACATAAAGGGACTCTTACCTTCCTATAGCATATGTGTATGTGTGTGTGGGGAATATGATATGCGATTCTTTCACAAGCCAAAATGCAATCCTTGCAGGTTCTTTTGGTGGGTCCTGATCCAGATGCCCTGATGCAAGAGTTACCCTTTTACCCCCTTATTCACACAACCTTGGGAAAACAATACTCTGATCAGGATGTCAGGATCATGATACTTCACAGGAAGTGACCGAGGTTTCCAATGTAAATTCTAATAAAGCAATACAGTACTGCACTATGCAAGTAGTCCGTAATGTATAATGCAAGTAAGAAATTTAGGTCTATAGTATATTAGACTGCCTTATCTCCTGCTACATAAAAAGCTTTCTATTCTCTCCTTTGAAAATCAGCACTTACCTTTCAGCTTAATTTATGAAAAAAAAAAATATATTTTTTTTTAAATAATTTCATGGGGATGTAAATGTGGTGATTGGGAATGTGAGTCATGAGCAGCTGTGCAGTCCAGTAAGAAAGAGTCTTGTGGTGCTAGGGCACAATTCTTTCCTCTAGGGCAGGGGTCTCCAAACTATGGCCCCCCAGCTGTTGAAGTACTACAAGTCCCATCATGCCTTTGAGAGTCTTGTCTGTCAGAGTTTTGCAAGGCCTCATGGGACTTGCATTTCCTCAAAACCTGGAGGGTCATCCCACATGGAAGAAAAATATATTTGAAAATATATTTTAAAAATATTCCTCCCAAATTTATTGACATAGATTTGAAATGCTACAATTTTTGCCATATTCTTCATCATATTCTTCATATTTTTAAATACATACAGTATATTTGAAATGTATTGTTAAAAATATTTTTCATATTTTGTAATAAAAACTCATTTCAACTTGATATATATATATATATATATATATATATATATATATATATAAAAATAACGTGACCAAAATTGTAGCATTTCAAATATATGTCAATATATTTGGGAAGAATATTTTTAAAATATATTTCAAATAGATTTTTCTTCCATTTGGGATAGTTTGGAGACCCCTGCTCTAGGGTAACTATGCTAGTGTAGCACTGATGATTACCAGTTTAGGATTGAACTCTTCTGGTGACCTCCTGCGATACATTGTCATTAAGGTCTGGGTGGCAGTTGGAGCAGTGTTACCATTAAGATTTAATGGTCGATCACCATATACTTCTGTCCGGAGTCTCAGCTGAGGACTGCATGAAACAAAGCTGCTTGCTCTCGAATAAACCTAAAAAAAAAAAAAAACCACACAAATAAAAAAGGTACACAGTTACCAGGCATTTATTTATTATTGGTATAATGATTAAGGATGTAATAATGTATGTTCTCAAATCATAATCTAAACAATTTAAATGTATTGCACTGCATGAACATTCCTTTTTCCTAGCCTGTGCGGTCATACCTCTTCACTCATGCTGCTGTCACTCCCAGATATGTCCTTATCAAAGTACATTTTCAGGGTAGTTTGCTGCAGGAAATCAGATATCCTCTGCACAAGAAAGTCTCTGTCCTTCAAGTTGGCAAATAGGAAGGTCATTCTGTTCTTTGTGCTGATAGACAGTGGACTAGGCAGGACACTGGAACTGTCTGCCTTCTCAACGATGGTCACCTACGGAAAATGAAACTCCATTTATTTCAACAAGTATCTAGATGAGACTTTTGTATAAGTACATTTTTATTCCCCACTCTTCAAAATCCTAAAAGGGCCTATTCACACCTTTGTGTCCTGGTGTGCTGCCTTTCCAGGCATGCGTTAACATGCATTGCATTGAGGCAGCACATTCAAATAAATGGGCTGACAATGCTCAGAAATGTAAAAAAAAAAAAAAAAAAAAAAAAAAAAAAAAAAAAAGAAAAAAAAAAAAAAAAAAAAAAGGTTTGCTACTGCAGCACACTACAGCACATGTTACTGTGAATTGTGATGTGCTGAAAGCATGCGAGTTGGAGCTGTGTTGCCTTTAGTGCACTGGAGTGCCATTCAAAATGAATTGCCCTGCAACAAGTTAATGTGTGTGGTGCCTTGCAGTAATGAGCATATTACCACAATGCACCCCAGTGTAAAAGTGTGTTTCAGCCCCAAGTTAAAGATCATTCCATGGGATGTATAAAGTGTATCTAAACCCAAAAGCAAAAATGCAATATATTCTCCACCAGAGATAAAACTAATACAATTTAAAATGTTGCACTGGGCTTATTTCATTCCGTCTTCTGGCTACACAAGATAAACTTCTCACTCTCCTTTTTTTCATGTTTTCAGGTCATGGTATTGTGCTGTATTGACAGGATGTGCTACAAATTATTAAAAATACTGCACAAATTATAGTATACCTTAAGCCACAATATTGTCTGCTGGGGCTGCTGGAACCATTGGCCCACACAGTGGCTAAGAGTACCCTGTTGAATCTTTTGCTATTTTATGCCTCTCCTCCCATGACAAGTTTCTGGATGAGTTTGGTTAATTCCAGCATGTCTCTGTATCAAACCACCTACGCTAATAGAGGATGCCCTTGTAAGTTTCAGAAGATATGGTCTTGCTGGCTAGATAATGCCTCCACCGCCACAATGGTTGAAGATAGAGTAGCTTAGAAGTTTATGTATCCATTTGATGTGTCATCTTCTTATTCTAAATGGTCCCTTTATTCTCTCTGAAACTGACTGGAACTACTTAAGAATTGCATGTCCAGTGACTCCCCCCTCCTGGGGTTTACTTGTATTTATTTGTTATGTTGTGCCATTTTTTATATTAGTAATTGTTAAAATCAATTAATCAGATTTGCAGAAAAGCAATATATTACAGGTTACATTCATTAGATGTTGTGGCTGCATAGTATTAATTTTTTTAATTTTTTTTTTAAACTTAATTTTCACCTGGTGATCCAGCTAGTAAGTGTTCCTTTTCAACTTCCTTTAACAGACCAAGCTGTCCAGTAAAAGTGGCAGAGGATTGAGACAAACTATTTAACACTGACTGGGGTGATAACAAATGGTCAACTTTTATTAATTTAGTTAAAAGATTTAATCCAAATGGAAAAAAAATTCTGTAGCTGCTTAAAAGCATTAACTGGAGTTAGGCTTTAATTTATCAAGTCCATCTAAATCTACTATCCCCAGACAACAATCTTCTCAAAAGGGCATCTCCGTTGCTCCTCCATAGACAGACATAAAATGTATTACTCAAAGTGTACTTAAGCGCTGCATGGTATATGATATTTGAGTGATATAGAAGGTTTTGAGGGGATTACCTTTCATGCTAGCTGCTCCTGCCTCATAGATCTAGCGCTCGTTTTTGTCTTTGATATTATAAAATGTATTACTGGCTGGATCACCAGGTGGAAATAAAGAAAACAGAGAATATAACAGAGAACAAGTGGAGCCACCACATGTAAAGGATTGGTAAGCTGCAATATATTATATAGTGGTTTTTGGTTTTAGATAGGCTTTAAATTACGAAGGCCCATTTCACATGGGTGATCCGTTTGCTTAATCCATTTCAGTCATGTTTTTATTAAGAAAAAAAAAACAGATTCAGTTAATTCATCTTCTGTTTACATCCATTTTCCTGTTTACATCCATTTTCCATCTGTTTACATCCATTTTTTTGTCTGATTCTGCTTTTCAAAACAGAGCAAAAATGCAGATTTCTTTCATTCAAAAAAACAAAAACAGATCTTAATGAAAGTGGACAAAAAAAATGAATGTAAACGGATTACATCTGTTTACCCATAGGAATGCATTGTGATCTATCACCTGTCAATAGACAGATGGAAAATGGACAAACGTCACCTGTTTACATTCACTTCCATTAAGGTTAAATTTTATTAAAAAAACAGAACAATTCTGCATTTTTGTTTTTTTAAAAAAAAAAAAAAAAAAAAAAAAAAAAAAAAAAGAGAAGCGAATGAAAAGTGGATGTAAATGGATTTAAAGCGGATATAAATGAGACCGAACTAAATGGAAGATGAATAAACTGATGTAAACAATGAGTTTATTCTTGGCAAAAATATGACTGAAGACGGATGAAGCAGGCGGACCACCCGTGTGAAAGGGGCCTTCGGCAATAACCTTGCATTTGTTCCAAACAATGTGACCAACAATATCTCTACTTGCTTGTACATTGTTAACCAAGTGAACTGCAACATTTCTTAAGGAAGAACTAAAGTTCACTCTAAAATTACAAGTTAAAATAGTGCATGCATGTACACTTGCAGACATGTATGTGCAAGATTCACATGCACTGAATGTTTGGTAAATGTCAGATTCACTGCTTAATAATCATTTCTCTTGAACCTCTAAACTATACTTCACAACCAAAGTTACACTGACAGGGTTAAAATTATTTTTGTCTTCCTAAAGCCAGTTTTTCCTATTAAATGGGGGGGGGAGTTAACAAAAGAAGTTTTTTTTTTTAACCTTAATGCGGGGGATGCATTTACAACCACTTTAACTTAAAAGGCCAAGTTCACCTTTGAGAGTATATTGCGTGTTACACCTGTATTTAGGGTTCTAGCTCTTGACCCCCTTCTGCTATGACAGCACGTGACAGCTGCTGTCACATTTCAAATCAGTGCAGCTGTGCAGAGCTCTGCCCGCAGAGCAGCGTCATTCATTTACAGGGATCTGTGGATGAAGAAACTACAAGTCATATCTCCCGCGTGGCAGACAGCTTGTAGTTCTCAATAGACAGAGCGTGCTGATCACTGAACTTGTAATCCATTCACACTTCCTCCAGCTTTTAAACAAACAGCCCATACAGTGGTACAAGCAGAAAGCTGGAGGGGAGAGTTCAGGAGCCTGACATTGCACCCACAATCAACTGATTGCTGGTGCAATACTTTGCAGGTTCCTGTATGAATAAATAATAAATGCACATTTTTTTTTTCCTGCAAGAATATGTGAATGTATTATGTTTTCCTAAAAGGTGAACTTCACCTTACAGATAAACATTTTCTCACACCATCTAGTTTACTAAAGGGTCAAATGAACCACCGCTAATTATGAATGAGCAAAAGTGAGATTTTTTTTTTTTATTTCCCCTTTGTGCAAAATCATGAAATTTTAATAAAATTTTCGCAAAATGCTTAGCAGTCAATAGGGAAGGCAATATTAAAATATCAATAGAGAATACTTTTTAGTGTAGGATTAGAACTACCACTATCAGATTTTTACCATTATCAGAGACTCAGTTGGAGAGATCAATTCTCTTCTTATCTGGTTAAAACATTTGTCCCCAGGACAGGAAGTGAGGGGAAATCTTTAACAGAAACAGACAGAAGTAGGGGATTGCTAGACCCTCTGCCAACTTTTTACTGTCCATTTTTCTCCTGTAGATTTCTCCTCAATTGCCTGATAAAATGTTTCCCCCAGAACAGAAAGTGATGGAAAATCTCTCTAATGGTGCCCCGAGTAGCAGTACAACCTGACATTCTGTCCAAAACTAAAAAACAGTTTTGGGTATACATAAGCTTTCAGGTGGTTTATTATAGGATGTCGGCTGGAAGGTCTGATGAGAGCGGAGTGTCCGTTCATACTCACCAGCTTTCTATCCCTGATGAAGTCACATGATGCATGACGCAATGTGTCGGACAAAAGTGTGGTGATGTCATTTCCGGTGCGGCGATGCCAGCCGCCATCTTTGTTTACCCTTATCCCTGATTAGGGCTCTTAGCCCGCAGCTCCATGTGAGTATCTATTTATATATCTATTAAAAATATGCCATTATTTACTACACTAGGAGGAGCCTTTGTGTTTCTGTTTGAGCCCTTGTGTACCAAAACGGACCCCTACTTTTAAGATATCCAAGCGAAGGAGGATTTCGACTGCACACAAGTTGACCTATTTAGGTCAGATTTGGGAGGTAAGCGCACTCCCCTGGTGGAGGTAGTCACAGCGGTGTTGGAAGTGGACATTTTGAAGAGTATTTCACATACCATGGATTGAATTAGATTTCTTTGGGACTCCTATTTATTACAGTGCATTGGCACTTGATATATGTTGATCCCCTAGCTGCTTATCTTATTTATGTCAGTACGATAGTATTTGTTATATGTGGTTGTATATTGCCTAGGAGGGTTACTGTTTGGGCATCTACTTACCATCCCTTTCTTTGTACACATTTATTTGAAAGATTATCATTTTGTTTTGTATCTAATCACTATGGTTTCATATGTTTTTAACACTATTTTTATTTACACCTAAGAGGGCAGCCGGCTCTTTATTTTTATTTATTATTTCTTGAGTTACCATTCATTGGCTTATATTTAAGGTATTTATGGTTTACTGAGTCATTTATCATTGCCCTGGGTTCAAGTATGTAGGGCTCAGCCGGGTGTTTATTTTATGATTTTTTGGTAATTGTGTTAGCGCAGCACTTTATATATAGGATTCTATAGATTTCTTCACTAATTAAGCCAAAAAAAAAACAAAAAAACTCCACTCACTGGCAGGCTAAGCTACTGACTTCTTCTTAGTTGCTATGTAATATTTGACCACTTCAAATAAATTCTCTATTCCAAAACAAAAAAAAAAAAAAAACAAAAACAAAAAAAAAAAAACACAGCAAAAGAGAGTGAGTGCTTGAAACAGCAGTGACAGTGTTGGATTCCCTGGGATCCATAGAATGCATCAAGACGATTTAAAATTCTGGTAACTGTCTATAAATGAAAACTCTGTTTTGGATCACCTGATGCTTTAATTATAATATATCTTGTAAAAATTTCTCCAGTAAGTGTATGTTTAATTGACATTCAAAAAGCATAATTAAACAGGTTCTGCAAAGGAGGGGGCTGTATTCATTTTCCGTTGAGCTACTTAAAAATTCCAGGATTCAGCAGTTTAATACTCATGATCTGAAATATTATTCATATTTAATATAGTTTAAAAAAAAAAACAAAAAACAACCAAATGGAACCATCCCACCAGATCTGCTGACAATGAACAGGTTGCCTGCGAAGGAGGTGGTGAAGGGCTGCAGGTTATATACAGTATGTTTACATCTGTTTCTAGCGGTTTGGTTAATGGAGGAAGCATAATTAGGTCCGACAGGCAGGGAAAATGTGCATAAATTACTGAGACTGGCATTAAATGGGCTAGAAAATGCTATAAAATGACTCATCTCTAAACAGAGGGGGTGAAGAACCTAATTACACGGATGGCTTAGAAAAGGTCAGAGCTGAGTGACTGCACACGGTCACAACTATATAAATACACAGACGCACCTCTCTCAGTGGAATGATTAGGCTGCACAGGTTCTCCTCTTTACTAGTGAAGCAAATGTAATTGGTGGATACAAACATCTGGCCCACAATATGTCTTTTACTGAATGGTGTCCACAGAGTACAGTCTGTATGTCCATCCAGCTTCTCATCCTTGGGGAGGCGGAAGAGGGAACGATATCGTTCGCTCTTGGCTCGAGCATCTAAATCTCTGCAATATACATACAAACAAAACCAGTTTGTCAATAGACAAGTTTTAGGAAGAGTTCAATTTAGACAAAGGGGATACACAAATTTTCCTAGCAGGACCACCACCAAAAACAAACCCACTTTAGGCCCCTTCATGCAGTCATTCCATCAGTTTTTATTCAGAACAAAAACAGACTGCATGGAATCCCTGGGGGATTATGATTATGTGTTTATTTACATCCAGTCTGCTCATGGTCATTGGACTGAACACAATAAGTTTGCATCCTGGTCTGCTTTTGCAGGCCTGCCAGATGTGGTTGGATAAAGACAGAAATATGTCCATTTACTGGCTGCCCATAGGGATTACATGGGTTTGTTTTTTCCACACGTGATGGAGGCTGCAGATAGGTCACCCCTTTCCATTCTCATCCAACTCAGCAGGGGATAAGTCAATGTATGCTCTGCTGGGACAGAAAAGAGAGTGTCTATGTGAAAGGGGCCAAAAAGTCCAATGGTGGCCACACAGACAAACTCAATTGGTGCGATCACATATCGGATACAAATCACAAACCAGAGACCTCCTGTTGAACTATGTAGAGAGCTTTAGATTGATTTCAGCTTGGCTGTGATGGAATTTTGTCTATCATTTCTGCCTGCTCATACAAATGCAGATACATTCAATTGATCATGACTGATTGCATTTACTTTCAATATTTTAGTCAAATGCAAAGCACAGAAAAATGCTGTGTGTGTTGCATTCAATATTTTAATGATGGATTGCTTTTTTCAAACACAGTTTGTATGCCCACCTTTATATTTAAGTTGTAATAATGGTTTAAGTTATAAGAGTATCAAAGGTTAAAGAAGAACTCTGTTAACAGCAGAACAGGATAATAGGATTGGTTCTCTAGCTCCCTTGTCTCCTCCTCTCATGCTCATCTCCAGGACTTCTCCAGAGCCTCCCCCATCCTATGGAACTCTCTACCCCAATCTGTCAGACTAGTACCTACTCTGCCCACCTTTAGGCGATCCCTGAAAACCTCTCTCTTCAGGGAAGCCTATCCTGCCTGCTAATAACCGAATCTTAAATTTTCTTCCCATCAGTCCATCCCCCCAGTTATTACCTCTTGTACCACCAGTCTCTCCCTATTATATTGTAAGCTCCCTGGAGCAGGGCATTCCTTACCCTCTTGTATTGAACTGTATCGTTACTGTATTGTTCCCTCTTATAATGTAAAGTGTTGCGCAAACTGTTGGCGCTATATAAATCCTGTATAATGATAATTTATGAATTAGCTTTACTGTATTTATTAATTTGTCAACCCAGCAAATATGCTTTATAAAGAGGGAATGCGCGGTAAATGTCTTTAAAAATATGACCCAATTTTTGCAACTTTCCCTCACCGTTTTAGGGCAGATACTTTTTTGGGGGATTTCTTTTTCAGTTTGGGAAGAGATCGGTCCTGCTCAAAGCCTTCATTGTCCAGAAGCTGCCTCATAGCTATGTTGGCAAGCTGCTCCATTAATTTGAATGTCTCTGTGATGTTGAGAAAGACGGAGAAGAAATGTTCACTAGACCGGGTGCTGACTTTAATCATGTCAGGAAGAAGCAGGGTGGCGGTCTTTTCCAGCTGCGTTATATCCACCCAACGGATCACCAGCTTGGCTGAAAGAGAAAGATGACAGCATGTCAAAAACAAGAATATCACTGTCATTGCCTGGGGTTTAGCCCTCAGTGGCAAATTTAATTACTAGCAGTGGCCTAATAGTATGATCAAAAAAGGACCGGGCTATTACATCTTCCCAAGTTTTGTTAATGAAACATTCTGTATATTGGATTCAAGATTCCAGTATTGACAACATGGAGCAGTAACTTTTAAAAAACCCTGACCTCTAACCTGGCTCTCCCAGTAGAGATAAATATATTTAGTATAAAGAACATAACAGTCTATCCAAACTATAGTCAGGTCTCCGTGCTATATAGGACTCTGTCATATACATTGACTCTTCATGTGTGTACTATGTTTATAGAGATTTTCACAGTACTGTGGGAGCCTGAGACTATAAAGATATTCATAGTGCTTGTGGAACAGGTGTAGAGTGGTGCAGCTGCAGTGAACACACAGAGTCCCAGGATGCAGTAACGGTGGAACTGAAAAAGTTGCAAATAGCACAATAGTTCAGCAGGAAGTCCACCCAACCAGGGACTAATGCAGCAGAGAATCAGCGGTAGTATGCCCGGAATGAAGATAGTGCTTGCCAAGGGTGATTGAATGCAACATTGCCAGTCCAACCCAAACTGGGAGCTTGCTGGAGTGCAGACGTAGGCCCTGAGCTGTCCCTACTTAAAAAAAAGGGACTTAAGTAGGGACAGCTCAAGGAACCTAAAAGAACTGCGTGACCCAAGAAGGCCGCCAGGGTCATGTAGCCAACCTGAACACTGCTTCAGTAGACAAAGGGAAATCACAGAGAAGCCACAATTCTCTAGTCTTCCCTTTCCAGCTCTACTGCTTCTCCAGACTAGGCGGTACCTGCCTACACGCTATGTACAGCTTAAAAAGGACAGGCATATCAAAGAATGGCAAAGAAAGTCCAAATTAGGGAAAAAATTGCAAATAAAAATGCAACATGGTTGTAAAACAGATTGCAAAATAGACCTATATAGTGGTCGTCATACAAAATTACACTTTTCAGCTGGCTTAAAGGCCAACTCCACCTCACGAGTGCAGTAAGAACCACACTCTTAGTCCATTGACAATCTCTTCAGCTCTCCAGCTGAAAGTCTGTACCTTAGTATGCATATAAGCTGGAGGAAGAGTCTGCAGAAGCCTGGCATTGCACCCACAATCCACTGATCGCAGGTGCAATGCTTTGTAGGCTCCTATGAAAAAAAATAAATAAATTTAGATGCACATTTTTTCCCCTGCAAATAGGTGTGCAATTATTATTTTTTTTTTTAATGACTAGATTTAAGAGTAATTAATCAGTATAATGCAAGGTAACTGCAAAAATGCTAAACCAAAGTGTGTGGTGTTCAGGCTGCTGCAGTGACCTTACACTTTAAGGCTCATGTATACAGATGTACATACAGATGCATAAACACAGCATAAATAGAATGCGCCTGTAATTGTGGTGGAGCATGGGTGGAGTGAAGAGTAGGTGAATATGTGCAGCTTGTGGGGCTGGCATTAAAGCATACCTGTTCTTGCTCTGCATGGGTACGATTACTGTTACATTTGTTCTACAGTTGAGAGGCAGATCTGTAGTGGTGCATTTACATTGTACTAATGGTTTATAAGTTACAAGTGTATCAAAGGTTGTATTAAAAAAATAAAAAAAAAAGAAGAACTTGTATGTTAACAGTAGAACAGAATAATTGGATTGGTTCGGATTTATGAATTATCTGTTAGTTATTCAGATTTATTCTACAAGTATTGTTACTATAAGTATTATATTACTCTACCTTTATCAGAAGCCTGTATATATATTTCTATGCATGGGAGGGATTCAGATGTTCTTTTGCAAACAGTTTAATGTGGAGATTGCCCAGAGTCCATACAACCTCATGGACACAAACGTGGCTGCACTAAATTTGAAACCGTTTATGTATAAGAGGTTTTTTTTTCTCATATTACCTTCTTTCCCTAGCAGGAAGGAATAGAAACAAAGGTGATTGATGCTCAAGTACATCCATCCTTGCCGGGGAACTCTGCCCTTCCAGTAACTGCAGGAGTAGTAATTCACCAATTTCTCTTCATCTGGCATACCAAAAAGCTTGTGGAACTTAACAATCGCCTCTTTAAACTTGTCTGTATCATCGTCTTCTTTAACACCATTAATTTTATTATATTCTGCAATGATACCCTATAGAACAAGAAAGCTGTAGTTATTTGTGGTAAGACACAGTACTTCTTATAAGTTAAATCGACCATTGTCATAACTTGCTGCTCCTTATCTGTGAAGTTTCACAAAGTACAATACCAAGCTTATGTCAAATTTTATTAAGATCTATACAATTTATTTTTAGAGTCATGAAAGCCAAGGTAAATGTGCACCAGTTTTAAAGTGGATCTTTACCCCAAACCCCCAATTTTTTTTTTTTTTTACCCCTGTTCACGGTGTATTTTGCACATTTCAGATACTCACCCAACCAGTGGATATAGTGTAGTTCCGCCGAAATCCACTTGTCTTCTGCCAACATGTTTGGGACGTCATTGAGAGGCCCACTTGCTATTCTGGGTTCTGCTAGCTTTTCTTCTGATAACGCACTGCTAGGCCTGCCCCCCCTCTTTTATGATAATGCCTCCTGGGATATGTGACTTGTTTTTTTGTGTGTATCCCAGGAGGTACAGTGAGTACAGTGCATGTCAAACACAAAATTAAAAAAAAAAAAAAAAAAAATCCAAAACATAGCACTATTATTATTGAGGGAGGAAGGAAGGAGGTGGAGAGGAGAAAATCCACTTTAAAAACAGGAGATACATGCTTTAGGAACCCTGCCTTAAGCTTAGTTTAAATGTGTTTTAATAAGGTCCACCCATGATTTCCACTGCTGTCTGGGAAAGGAGTCACGCTTAGTAAATTGCTTGCAATCTCAACTTCAAGGACATCTACTATCCTATGAGATAACCATAGCGGTCTGCCTGGCCTATCAAATCTGCATTAGCATGTGACAGACGTTAATATTACAAGATACAACTGATCAGAGAGAATCTTTGCAGCTGTTTTTGGTGCCCTTTACTCGTAACCCTCTCACCCTGGACAACTGAGCCAACACACTTTGCAAAAGAAGATTGACGGAGTGGAAGTTTGTCTGTCTGATGCCATTGGTGGGTCTGGTGTGTGTATAGGGTAGTAACTAGAAAAATCACCAGTAAGAAGGCTAAGAGAGCCTGAAAAACCCAGCAGTTCCTTTGGGGATCATTGCTACATATAAAAACCAATATCATCAGATCCTTATATAGAGGTCATGGCAGAAACAAGCTATGACAAGTAGTTTAAAGTGGAAATAGCAAGCAGAAAATTGGTGGAGGGCCAAAATTCAAATATACTGTACATTGCTTAGTAAATAGGAAAGCACTTTGCAAGTGAAATGGATAAGAAAAAAAAAAAAGCTTGCCAAGATGACAGTCTGCTTTTAATAGATATTTTTTAAAGTTCGTAATCATCTTTTCAAACATTTTATCTTCTTCTGCATCCATTCAAATATCTAATGCTTTTTTTTTTTTGGATAAGGGTATTACACAAGCTATTATATTTATAAATAAAGCCAATTTAAATATTTGAACCTAGCAGTCTGACAAAGGATGTATTATCTATACAGTCCCATTTTTCAAATTAAGCGGAAAACCTATTGGCAAAGAGTATGCTGGGCAATTAAAATGTAATCATTACCCACAACCCCAGCTCTTACTTATGCAAATATTACAAACAGTGACCAGTAGTTAGAAAGAGTTGAACTGTATTAAAAATTAAAATTAAAAAGATTCACTTCCTATTTATCTGAATGAATTATTATACGGAATAGAAAAAATATAACAATAATAATAATAATAAAAAAAAATATAATAATGTTTGTGGGCTTTGACAGCAAGATTTCTCTGCTGGATTTCTGTACAATTAGGACTTTCAATTTCTATGCTGCATTCTCTATATTGTAAAATAAATTGGATTTTCCAACAGGGAATTTGATGGCATTAATGATGGTCAAGGTAGGGGAGTTAAACTGGAACATGGAATGCAGACACAAGGCCACAACACCACCCAAGTGATCCAAGAATACCACTGGGTCAGGGGCGGACTGACCATTTGGAAACGCGGGCACTGCCCGAGGGCCCAGGGTCAGTAGGGGGCCCCATGAGATGCCCCTGGTACCTTTTTCATAGGCTTTTTTGAGTTTGGGCAAGGACGCCCCATGATCCCCTATTGCCCGGGGGCCCCATGAGTTGTCAGTCCGCCCCTGCACTGGGTAGATCAGCCCACTGACATCTGTAGTTTACACCAGAACACCACAGTTTGATCCAAATAATGTAGGAAAGCTATTATGTTATTTTGTCGAAATATATATAGATATATTTTCATATAAATAAAAAACCACCTGTATTTTTCCTTTAACAAATGTGGTGATGTCATTTTCATTTTCAAAAATGGAGAGAGTCTGCAGCAAGTTCACTTCAAGCCATTCCCAGTGCTCAGTCACCTCCCTCCGAGAGCCTCCTGGAAACAAGAGATTCAAAATTATTGCATCATCTTCATTGTTAGATTTGTTAATAACGGGATGTGTTATTCTGAAAACTAAATGGGTACTGGAAAGATAAAACATTTGAATATATTTTAATTATAAAATGAGCCAGTGTAAAACAACTGTACCAAAAAAATCACAGATTAACAATTTATTCCAAACCCAGTCTGTCAGAATTCAGGCTTGATGCAGCCCACAGACAACACAATCAATTGATTCCATTTTATTGGACACTGCCCTCTGATTGTGCAGGTTGGACAAACCTTGTTATCTGAAGGTTCCACTAATTGTGCCTGCATATTTGTCCACTCTCTGATTTATTTAGTTAGCCAAGCATGAAGTCCTGCAGATTTTTAAGCCTAGTAAATATGCACCTAGCTATTAAATAGCTGGAATGGTCAATGCCATCATACAAGGGCCATAACTGCATTCCATACAAGACTGTGTCTACTATAACCCTTGCCAATTTTTAGATAATATACCTAGAAAACATGACGTGCAGCTTACCACAAGCAATAGTCCAGTACACAAGGGAGTCTGGAGTCTGATAAAGGATGCGATATGGTGCCACTCTTGCACTTGAGTCCAAAACAACATCAAGTGTCCCAACTAATAAACCTGAAAATTAACAGGAAATTTGTAAGCGACAATCAGGACTGAGATAACAGTGATGAGATATCAAGTCATAGTTAGGATTAATGAATCATGCTTATTAAGCTGCGATAGTTGATACAAACCACTTAATATTGTATATATAAATTTTTTCCATGAACATAGGGAACTACCAATTATAAATCAATAGATACATAAGAGTACATATCTGACTCTTTACCTATGCCATATATTTAACCACCTTAATGCTGGACATTTTCACCCCATTTCTGCCCAGGCCAATTTTCAGATTTCAGTGCTGTCACACTTTGAATGCCAACTACTCAGCCATGCAACACTCTACCCAAATTAAATTTTGTGATTAGCCCATGTACCCTGTGATCACCGTGACCAATGATTGAGATCACCGGGAGTACAAAATGAATAAAATCCATTTTGCACAACTGACATGTGATTGCTGGGATTGGTCACAATGATTACATGGTACCAGGGGTGGCCTGGTACAAGAATCAGTCTTCTTGCTGTGTCCAGTGGACATAGCAGGTAACAGATCCCGCAACTGTGTTCCCCCTATGGCACGCATGAGGCACATGAGTGGGATGACATCATATGATATCCTCCCAAGATAATAGACTGGGCAGGGGTTGGGTTATATAATATTATATAGGGCTAAAATAAACCACAAATTCCTTAACAAATATAAATCACATACAATATGATGAATGCACACACATGGCTAGAGACTGAGATAAATAATCTTTAGTAAATATAAGGTCACACATTTTTTACCATATTGGATAGAGTAGAGAGCAAACTGCTGCCAGTCTTTATTTTTTGGTTGGGGGGGGGGATATTGTCCATTAAGGAGATTTCTCTTTATCCCTGCACTATAGATAACAGGAAGGGAGATGATATCTTTCCAATGTGAGTTCAATCCCCTCTGAGAAGCTGTCATGGGTACAAATGTCACATGTCCCAGTTTGAAGATTTACCATGTCCCCATTGGGAGATTTAGCTTTACTGCCCTTAGTTTCATTCAAAGTGAGAGGACTATTTGGTAGGGTGAGTGCCAGTCCTATCGAGGGGTGAACATAAATAGGGAGGCGGATTTCAGCTATTATTAGGATATTAGATTCTGCTGGAATTTACAAGGCTTTATTGAACAAATAATTGAGTTATATACTTGCTATGTATTTATTTAGACTTGCACAGGAAACATGATGGATATGAAGATTAAGTGAACACTTGAACATGAGACATTGGCTCAGTGTCATTTCGGCGTTATAGATTTTAGATTCTTGTAAAGATTCAAAATAACTGCTCCACAGCCCAAGTGATATATGTAGCCAAGCTGGAACATTTGGATGCTTGAATGAGATGTTCTCCAGTCACTTTGTGGAGCAGTCCCCTTTGGATTTAGGGTAAATGAAGCTCTGTTGTAATTTCCACCTATAACATAATAGCACTTGACTGCCCCAGCACCATTAACTGCATTGTGTGAAAAGCGGGGGGGAGTAACATACTTGCCCATATCCCAAAGTAACTAAGAATTTAGAAGGGGGGCTGCAAAAAGTCCATGGACTGGAGGGCCTGTACACTGGATACATTGAGTTTTTATTAAAAAAAAAAAAAAAAAAAAAAAAGAGTCTATTTAAATTCTATTTTAAAAAAAATATGTTGCTGTTAAGGAATACCATTATAAATAACTAATTTGCTACACAAATGACAGGGTTCACACTCTACCACAGTTTCAACACAGTGTTCATTCACTACATGGCTGCAAGAGAATAGTTTGTCTTTTTATAAATTGCTATCTTAGAAAATACATAATTATAAAAGCAACCCCATCAAGGTTACATGAGCAAGCAGATCATCTATGGTCAAAGGAGGATGGCATGCTAATGTTCACATGCTCACATTTTCGCATGCTGCTCCTTTTAACTGAAATCAATAAATGGTTTCTGCTTTAACAGTTTCTATATAAAATGTTTTTATGAGCAATGTTTATGCCTGTCCATAAAGCTATTAGACCACAAAGATAGATTTCAAGAGGATTTTGTATATGGCAAATAAAAATGAATGCTAAAAGGAAAACTTCTGGAAGAAAATGCAAGTACAGGAGTTTTGCTAAGGGAAGTTAATATGCATTTAAAAAATGTATACCACAAAGTATTATATAAATATGAATTCTTATTTAAGACCCATTGTGATATATCAGCACAGAAGTTTCACTTTCAATGCAGGCCCTTTGCTTGCCTGGGACATATGATTGCAATGATACTAAGTGTAATCTGCTGCTCCCCAACCAATGTCTGCATATAATGACCTGGAGTGCATTGTCATGAGATGTTGAGCCCCCAGCTTTCTTGCGAGGCAGCAGTAAGCCCCGGTTCACACTACTTCGACTTATGACACAAAGTCACATGACAAGTCAAAACACATTTGTTCATGGCTTTTTTCAATGGCTGCGATCTTAATCAATGCAACTCAAGTTGCAGTTTGTGCGACCTGAGTGCCATAGACCAGGGTTTCCCAACCTTTTTTCAGTCAAGGCACCCTTTAAAAATGATGGACAGTCCTGAGGCACCCCATTCTAAAATGTGAAAACTATTCGAATAGTTTTATATAATGCAGAAACATCCACACACATAGGACACCCAATGTTAGAGGTGATGTATTCTTCCAAAGCAAAACACACCTTTGCACACTGGTACTGAGTAGTATTCCAATGTTTCTCTTCTCTCTCAGTTTTTCTCCATCACTGAGCTAATGTAACCCCAGCACTGATGGAGAAGTGGCAGGGGAGGGTCAAACTAGGATAATGTGCAGGCAACTGACTTCCTCCTTATCAACTGATGGTGTCATTGGTTGTCAGGATGTAGGCGGCTAGAAGTCTGTAATGGTACACAATGAAAACCTGTGGCTTTGTGTAACTAAAAAGGCAGGCTTGTTCCACCGCTGGTTTGTATACAAGTTTTGGGCAATTTTTAGACATTTTGCCAAGGCATCCCTGAAGAAACCTCAAGGCACCCCAGGGTGCCTGGGCACACTGGTTGAGAAAGGCTGCCATAGACTGCATTGTTTAATCATAAAAGTCACAAAGAAATCACAAGTATGTCACAGGAATGTGAACTGAGCCCAAGGCACTATGTCATCACTCACGCCTCACTGAAGTCAGGTCTGAGGCAAGTATTTTTTTCATTCTTAATGCAAGATTTTTTTTTTTCAATACCATTTACATTTTTTTTGGGGGGGGGGGGGGACTGACAGTACCATTTTCATAGGTGGTCTGCTTTAAATCTGATCTCCAAGCAAACAGCTCTGTATACATATGCAATTAATTTATGAGACCTGTTCTATTTAAAGAATTTGTATTTCTATTTATTCAGCCCCAAGATTCACACAGCTCCACCACACAGCACAGACCTGCCAGGGGAGGAGACCTGAATTTCAGCACACTGATATGCTCATCTACCTGGCACTCTTCTTTTTCCTCCTCCTAACAGCATGTTCCTTGCACTGAACCACACCTGCTGCCCCAACCCCACCCCACCCCACTATTCATGAGTTCTTTTGTACAGTGACTGCAAATAGCTGATGCCAAGTCAGATTCAAATACCAGTACAATTTGCATTTAATGAAAACTTTGAATGATGTATTAATGATTACAGAGCTACATTCATTTATGTTCAGCTATAAAGCAGGGAACGAATGCATAGGTGGAATCACAGCAAATAATGATCATGTTCTGGTCAATACAGAGCTGACTCTTTTGAGGGTAGGAATGTATTTACTGCACCAAAAAGAAGGTAATTGAAAGCCTGAGAGCCTTGATGGAGAATAAGAACAGGAAAGGCTTGCTGGTCAGGTTGCTGAACATGCAGAAATGTGTATGACTATTGGCTATAGAAGAGGGCTTGGGAAGCTAGGGGATAGGTGAACGGAAATCACACTTTACCGAAAGTTCTTCCACCTGCCAGAGAACCTACTACCCTCTCTAGTCTAATGTACTGTCACAGCTTTACTTTTTACCTTGCCAATCAGTGAATTGGTTGTGTCCAGTTTGGGCTTTGGGTAGTTGGATAGAATAAATGGTGGATGGTGAGGGCAAGCTGTCAGACTACGTTATGTAGTTGGGTACTTATTTTACATGGAAGGGACCCAAATGTTTTTCATCAATTGAATGTTATTGGTTCATTTGCAGTGGTTTTGTTAAAGCCATCCTATCAGAAGGTCCCTACAACAGTACAACTAATTACACTCACCTCTTCAGCAGTCCTTGTATCCACTCCTCTTTATTCCAGGGCTACAGCCACAGCCAGACGTTTTAGCACATGGCACTTCCAGGAGTGTTGGATGCCTGTGTCCCCTGTTGCACAATGTGGTTCCATCCACCAACCTCTATAAAACTAAAAGGACACAGCAGTGACATAGGGGTCAGAGGAAAGCGAGTGGTGGGAGACAGGAATCCAAAACTTTAGGAAGTGTCAAATGCCAAAGTCTGGTGGAGGTTGCAGCACTGGAATTGAAGACGTGTATAACATTTCTTTATTTGCAGAGATTTTTTAAAAACTTGACAGGGTCACTTTAACTCATTAAGGCTGTGGCCCCATCTTTCCCAAATGCGCAAAGTGGTTATTTGGGTAAGGCCTTCATCACCTATTTCACTCCCTTTTGGAATAGTGCTATGTAGTATTTTGTACTACTATGCTGCACAGCAGCCATATGCAATGATCAGCCATAGCTTTATGATCACTGACAAAATTAGGTGAACAACATTGAATACCTTGTTACAATGGCATCTGAGAGATAGCAGGATATATGAGGCAGCAAGTAAACATGTTGCTCCTGAAACTAATTTGTTGAAAGCAGAAACAAAAAAAATATCAGTTTGTTGTGTATGGGGCTGTGCAGCCACTGACCCATGTCCACAGCCAAAAGCACTTACAATGGGCACATAAGCATCAGAATGTGATTTTGGAGCAATGGAAGATGGTAGCCTGGTCTAATGA